CCCCCCCCCCCCGCCCCCCGACGGTTCCAATATCACCAGTATGACTACATGGATCTCGTTCTTCTTCCGTTCTTCTTCCTGTGTGAGGGCTTGTTGTGGCTATATTAGCTTATAGCCTCTGGCTAGAGGTCAGCGGAACAATTTCAGCTTGCAAACCAAATGGATTTTGACACCCATAGTGTTGTGGTTGTTTTGAAACTTGAATTGACTGACAATAAAAATTCAGATTTTTAGCTTCATTCAAAAAAATCAGATCTGGCTTCATTGCCACAGCAGGCTGGTGTCTGAGCAGCCGCCCCTTGGGCCCTGAGCTCCAGTTTGTGGCGTCTCTACGCTCCTCCGGGTTCAGCCCTCTCCGCCCTCTCACAGGCCAGTATCAGTTTCATGTCAGCGGCATTCACACTGCAAGTCCATCTGCTCCCTTAGATGCCCTGGCTACCGGAGTTTTTTCAGTCCGTCATCTCGTATCTCAAAAGTGCCAGGTGAAAATCCGGCCAGTGGCCCCAATGCCTGTGGGAACCCCAGTGCGGGGGACAGTGTAGGTCGGTTCGGGAGATGAGATTTGTGAGCCTAAAGGGTTGTAGGCTGTTCACAGTCTTGGCGACTCAGCTTTGCGACATCCTCAGATACACTTGGATACACCTGCTGCATCCAAGTTGCTGGTGCCCTAAAGCACTTTCCTCATCCATCGAGTGTCTCTGAGGCCAATTACGTCTTAGAATGGTCTCTTGAGCTCTGTTTCCTCCTGCCTACTGTCCCTGGTCTTAGTTAACACCTGGTCTTAGCACTGGTCTTCTGGTCTCCTTCTTCTCCAGTCTGTTTCACTTCCCACAAAACAAACACAGCCCACTTTCCCCTCCACTTGGAAAGCCCTGCTCTCTAAAGGATGAAGTCAGAACTCCTGATAAAAGGGCTCCCCATCTGCCCTGACCGGTTTGGCTCAGTGGCTAGAGTGTCAGCCTGTGGACTGAAGAGTCCCAGGTTCAATTCCGGTCAAGGGCATGTACCTTGGTTGCGGGCACATCCCCAGTAGGGGGTATGCAGGAGGCAGCTGATGGATGTTTCTCTCTCATGGATGTTTCTAACTCTCTATCCCTCTCCCTTCCTCTCTGTAAAAAATCAATAAAATATATTTTTAAAAAAGGGCTTCTTGTACTACAAATATCTACTATTCAGCTGAGTATGTCCTGATAAGCCAAAGTGTGATTTTATCCATATAGAATTATGTACATTTTCATGAGAGAAAAACAGGAGAGGATTATCTAGTAAATACTATGATGTCTATGAGTGAGGAGTACTCATTTTGCAATGGACAGTGATAATCAAGCCTTGTATTTCTTAAGTTCTGGATTATCAAATTGTTCCTTAAAATTTTTCTTATTTTTCTCTCTCTCTGTGAAATTGCTAAGTTTTTAATTAAATGGTAAATTGCTATTTTATACTTTTTCATTACCATTTGAAAAAAATGGGAATACTTAAATTTCAAGGTAATGTACAGCAGCCTAAATGATTGACTAATTATATCAGAAAACAATGGAAAGGACAATGTAGCCCTAGCCAGTGTGGCTCAGTTGGTTGGAGCATTGTCCCATATACTGAAAGGCTGTGGGTTCGATTCCCAGTCAGGGCATACTAGTATACCTAGGTTTCAGGTTTGGTTCCCTGTCTGGGGTGCATCCAGGAGGCAACCGATCAATGTTTGTCTCTCACATCAATGTTTCTCTCTCCCTTCCTCTTTCTATAATCAATAAACACATCTTCAGGTGAGGATTTTAAAAAAAAGAACAATGTAAAAATAAAAATAAATAAATAGTACATATTTTTGTGATCTTTCAAAAATATTTTTTTTATTGGTTTCAGAGAGGAAGAGGGAGAGAAAGATAGAAACATCAATGATGAGAGAGAATCATTGGTTGGCAGCCTCCTACATGCCCCACACTGGGGATTGATCCAGCAAACTGGGTTTGTACCCTGGCGGAATTGAATTGTGACCTCCTGGTTCATAGGTTGATGCTCAACCAGAGCCACATGGCCACACTATTTTTGTAATCTTGGGATAGGAAGTTACTTCTTGTTCTAGGTTGAATAGTGTCCCTCCAAAACTTATGTCTACCTAGAACCTGTGAATGTGACAGATTTGGAAATAAGGTCTTTGCAGATACAATCAAGTTAAGGTCGATCCCACCTATGAGTGAAATTATATGGTTCTTAGCTTTTTCTGACTGACTTATTTCACTTAGCATAATATTCTCAAGGTCTCTCCATATTGTTGCAAATGGCGCTGTTTCATCCTTTCTCATGGCTGAGTAGTATTCCATGTGTATATGTGCCACATCTTCTTTATCCAGTTCGCTATCTCGGGACTTTGGTTGTTTCCATGTCTTGGCCACCGTGAATAATGCTGCAGTGAACATAGGGGTGCATATATCTTTACAAAGAAATGATTTTGAAATTTTCATGTATATACCCAGGGGAGAGGGATTGCTGGGTTGTATGATAGCTCTATTCTCAATCTTTTGTCTACTCAAAGTCTTGTGGCCCCATGTAAACTGGTAAACTGTGTGAGATACTCATGGTAGAAAGAAGTCACCTTTGCATGCTTTGCCTTACAAACACACACACACACACACACACACACACACACACACACACACACACATTTCTATAAACAAAACAATGAACAAATAAAAGTTCTTCGGTCAGTAGTCACACAGTCCATGAGGAACATCCCTCATATCTTCTCTCATTTGATACATTTCTTGTTCTGATAACCACAGTCCCCATCTTCTTTAGAATGAGGAATAAAACATTTTTAAGACATCGGGGCAACTTCACTGGAACACCAGTACCTGTAAACACCAGTGGTTACAGAAGGTACGATGCTGAAACACAGATGAAAGCCATGCTCTCTGGAGCCCAGATCCAAGCAGTGGTCTCTGATAGTGGCACGGAACGGTCCCTGGTGTACTTGCCAAGTGGGCTCAGTGTGCACAGGCTTATAGCAACTGCATGCATTGCTTGTTCCTGTGACCCCTTTGGCAAGCTTCCTGGCCCTGGCTGGCAATCCAGTTTGAGAATTCGGAGAAGAGAGGCCCCATGCTGGCACCAGCCTGGGACCTAGCAGATCAGCACACTGACTGTACCCTGGACTTTCTAGAAACTGCCTACAACTTAGCCAGATCTGCTGTGGGCAGGGTCTCATGCCAGCCACATACAGAGCAATGAGATTCTGGGAAGAAATCAGGCCCTCTGTGCTCTTTCCTCTCTTGTAAAACATAGGCACCGCTGGTTCCCTGGGGCCTCCTTCATTACATAAAACTGTTCCTCATCGGGTGAAGGGATCAAGCGGAGAAAGAAAAAAAGGGCTCATGGGCTTAGACAACAGGATGGTGATGTCCAGAGGAAAAGGGGAGTAAATGGTGGTGGAAGGAGACTTGACTTGGGGTGGTGAGCACACAATATAATATACAGACGAGGCATTACTAGAATTACGCACCTGAAACCTATATATTTTTAAATTTTTATTTATTTATTTGAGAGAGAGAAACATTGATTGGTTGTTCCACTTATGCATTCATTGGTTGATTCTTGTATGTGCTCTGACCGGGGATCGAACCCACAATCTCGGCATATTGGGACAATGCTCTAACCAACTGAGCTACCTGGCCTGTGCATGAAACCTATATAATTTTATTAACCAATGTCACCCCAATAAATTCAGTAAACATTAAAAAAAAACCCTGTTCTTTATCTGTCTGAGGACAGAACTGCCAACACCATGGCATGCGACACTGTGCTGAGACCAGAGGGAGCAGAGTGCCCACAGCTTGTCCAAAGGCTCTGCCCACCGACTATCCCTCGTGTGGCTCCCTGCTTCCTGCGGCCTCCTCCAGGCTGTCCACAGCAGGCCATCTGTCTTCAGGGGCCTTGAGAGAAGAAGTACATCCCCCCTTTATGAACAGCGTGTCTCTCCCCTGGGGTTGTTTGTCCAAACCCACAAATGAGCAGGAGCATCACTTTATCTTCCAGAGAAATGACGCGACAACCTGAGGATGAGAATGTAGAGGAAACGCTGTGTCTGGCGGCGACTACAAGGTACAGGGTAGTGTCCAGGCCACAGTGACTTGGATGACAGAGATGGTGAGGGGGTGATAGAGGCCATGCTTCTTGTAGGAGAGCCCAGCGTAGACCTTTAATGTACCTTCTTTGATGTTACTGTGTTGTGTTTTTATTTGTTTGAATGGATAAAGGGAAGAGAACCGAAGGATGTTTAGTTTTTATCAAGGTCACCTGGCTCAAAATTTAGCCACTGAAATGAAGCCATATCCTTTGGCCAACTTCTTAGGAGAAGGTTGTGTGGTGGGGACAGGTGTGGGCCTTTCACGAGGAACAGGCTGGTCCCTGGTGCACCGTCATCCCGCTGGCCACGGCTGCTCACATAGCCCAGCCCCCTGACCTCTGATGGCTCTGGGGGTCTCTCTCCTCTCCTGCCCCATCACTGCTGGCTCCTGGTGTCTCCAGCCAGTATAAAAACTTCCTTCTGCCACCCAGTCAAGCCTTTTTAACAGGGCCCTTCTCTAGAGGCAGTGAGATACGACATCCTTTAAACAGGGGCCGAACCAGACGCACCCGCTGATTCCCAGCATCTGGGAGCACATGCATCCTCGGCTGTCTCTATGGGGATGAGCAGACATCCAGGCTCACGCCTCCTTTTGGGCGTGCTTGGGAGCTTAGCAACGGACACGCAGGCCAACGTCACTCTGCCTTACATTACGCCCCAAAGTGGAACAACTCAAATGCTCAGTAATATGAAATGATTGGGGAAATCGTAGTCTATTCGTAACAGCTTTTAGTGATCATGTCCTTAAAGATTTTTCAGTGAGATGGGCGAAAATCTCATGATATAATGTTGAATCCAAAAAAGACTATAAAATGACATAGATAATATAAACCCAATTATGTGACATATATACATACATATTATATATACAAATACATATACATATATATATATATGAAAGCAGGAAAGAGATGTATAAAGTATAATTTGCCTTTGAGAGATGGGGTAAGAAATGAATTTGTCTTTTTAAAAATTTCCATGAGTTTTTGTTGTTATAGTAAGCATATATTGCATAACTAGAAAAAAAACCTTATATGTATGTATTAAAGCAAAATATACACATATGTGTGTATATATTCTGTTTCCCAAGAGGTCTGCGTGTATATATCTGGCCAGAGAATCCAGGGTCATCTTATACTCAACCTGATGGTCGCCTCTCTCAGGGTCAAAGAGGGCCCCTGGAAGAACCAAAAAGAACCTTCAGAAAACATGTGCTCTGCCAATTCTCTGCCCACCCAGTGCCAGGGAGGAGAGGGTGGAACCTGGTCACTAGACAAGTAGGAGTGGCGCCTGGCCGGCGGGCTCCGTAGTTAAGCATCAAGCTATGAACCAGGAGGTCACAGTTTGATTCCTAGTCAGGGCACATGCCTGGGTTGCGGGCTCAATCCCCAGTGTGGAATGTGCAGGAGGCAGCCGATCAATAACTCTTTCTCATCATTGATGTTTCTATCTATCTCTCCCTCAGTCTCTGAAGTCAATAAAAAAATTATATATATGCTGTATATATGTAGGAGTGGCTGTGCCCATACTCACAGTGACCATTTTTTTCCTGCTATTACAAGATCTCTAAAAATGTGCTGAATCTGTCTTCTCAATGATCTCCTCTCTGCCCCTCCCCACTCCACTTCCTTTGGGGGAAGGTTTTTGTTGTTGTTTGTGTTGAAGGAAATCTGTTGGTTAGGCTGGATCCCCTCGCCTGGCCACAAAGGAGAACCCCTTCGAGACCTGTCCCTGTGGTTCCCTGGGCGGGGAGCTGGGTAGGAGGCTGTCACCGCACCGGCTGGGAAGAGAACCCAGTGTTCTTGATCTCTGTTGTCAGGTGAAAAAGCATCACAGCAGAGAGGCGGGCAGGGGCGCCGAGGTCCCCTCTCTGGGTGCAGTAGTCGTGTGCTTCCTTTTCATGCATTTACGTAGGCATCTTGTGCTTCATTAGAAAAGGCTTTGAGATGAAATAACAGCATTTATATTCTTACAAATTTAGAATTTGGGGTTTACCCTAATTTATACATTGGTAAGTTTTTTTTTTAAGAGGAAGGGAGGAAGGAAGTGATGGAAGACCAAATCAGAGAAAAGGGAAAATAGAAGTAAAGAAGGAGAACAGAGGGAAAGCTCACGCAGAGAATGTGTGTGGGGAGGTCCACTACTGGTTAAAGAGGCTCTGGACAGCAGACTCCTTTTATAACAGGGCTCAGTGAGGAGAGAGCCAGGTAGCAATCTGGCTTTATGGTTTAATCATTTTAAAGTGCTGCCCAGAGATAGCTGGCACTATGTGGAGACTGGTGGTGGAAGATGGCAGCTAAAAAATGGGGAAGGGACCGAGAGCCAGAACCACAGCCGGGGGACAGCTGCCCACCTACCAGAAATTTCTGTGGAACAGTTGGGAGTGTGTGTGTGTTACAGCAGTTAACCTGCCCAAAGTAATACACCCCAAGAAGAGAACTTAGGATTGCACAGGTGGGTTTCATTGCTTTTTCTATGTTTGCGCACCCTCTCTTCAATTAGAGTGCAAGTTCCTCTGGAACAATGTAAAAGGAATTATACCCCCAGAGAGCCTAGCATAGAGCCATGTACATGGTGAGCCTTCAGTAGATGCTGAATGATTGATTCAACAAGCTCCCCAAGGGATGAAACGGAGGCTCTGTGGCTTGTCTCCGGTAGTAGTTAGTACAGGGCTAGCTATGTGCTGTTGGCTACTTGTAATAAACACTTTGCTATTAAGGAATTTGAGACCCAGTATATTCCTAGACAGTGGGGCTCTAGTGGAAAGAAATAATACAGATATGTCCAAAAATCCACTTACAATTTCACTGAGAGATATTTATCTCTTTAATCCTGGAGGTTATTGAATGTAACGGAAGCTTCAGGAGAATGGAAACAGGACTGTGATTGGGAGAAGGCTGTGTCCAACAGTCACAAATTGTGTGACTTTCAATTTCCTTGCCTCTGAGAGGAAGCCAGTGTTTCCCAATTGAAATTCTGTGCATTAATGGCACACTGGCTTCCATTCGATTACATATCTATTTGTACTTCATGTGGTTTTGGTACACAACCAGATTTGGGAACCACTGGACTAGGGTATTCCTAACTCATGAGTCTGCCTTTTATAAAATGGAAATATAATTTTATTTTTCTGGCCTAAGGTTATAGAACTTAGACCTGGAAAGAGACATAGGACTGACCAATTCATCTCTTGGGGGTGGGGGTGGAGAGGAAATGAACAACAACAAAAAGAACACCTTTAGGTAGTCCAAAAATAAAATGGAAAAATAAACACGATCTAAGATGATTGGGTAGAGGACATATTTTCTTTGACTGGATATTAGAGAATTCATCAAGAGTTATTAAACAGAGAAGGCAAAGGTTCCATTGCAGGAATTTAATAAATATTTGTTATCTAACCAATCGATGTGCTAATTCAAGCAGAGAAGGAATTTGTTGCTGTTTCAAAGTCAGAACTTCTAATTGCCCTGTTCAGGATAAAAATACACTTGGTGTTCGCCTGAGCAACCCAAACTATCTACTCCATTATTCAAATACCCAAGAGGATTTAATGTATTCTTTGGCAACCAAAGGTAGAACTCGCATCAGACAGATATTAGCGATTACTGTTAGTTATTGGGAAACATTACACAATCCATGCCCTGTGCTCGACAGAGTAGGTTTAAATCCTGAACCCTCAGGCATTCCAGGCAGAACTCCTTCCCTTTGGGTGGCTGCATTTCCTACCGCTGTATGCTTTACCATACCTCTCTCCAAGTGATGGCATGGTGCCCTGGCAGCCGGTGCAGGCACTGGCCCCTAGTCTGGAACTGCCTGTCCCTGGGAGGGTGCCCAACACTAGAAAGTTAGAGATTCAGCCCCTCTGGCACTGAAGAGGTCGGCAACAGACAAAACTAGATATTCAAGTTTCAGAACCAGGGCAGAACCCAGCGATTGGGTCAAACATGGGAATAATTTGGGGAGTGAAGCAAGAGCATACAAGGCAGGGGCTAGAAAAGCATGTTGGGCTAAAACCACCGGGCTGAGGGCAGGACTGGCCCCCAAGGCTGGACTGAGGTTGGGCCTGCAGATTTGGGATGTTTAGAGGAGATGGTGCAGGGACAAAGGTGAAGGCTGCTGCTGACCAGGCCGAACTTCACACTGACTTTTAGCCCAGTGTTCTTTTCTCTTAAATATTTACCTGTTACAAATTCTGCAGATCGGGGGACTTTCCACCCTTGAACCTAAAAAATGCAAATGAAAGAAAGGCTAAAGAGGGAGAAGGCTTTGACTGGCTCCTGCTAATTTGGGGAAAGCAGTTGTGTTTACCCAGATTTGGCAATTGCATGTTGGAGAACTCAGGCAAGGCAAAGCCACAGCCCGCAGACAGGTTCTCCTGGGCCAGGCTCCCAGTTCTTCACAAACTCTAGGAAAATGGGCACTTAAGTAGGTGTGACATAGGTCATCCTTTAAAAAGTAAGCAGAGCATAAAATGTGAGATTCAGTCAGAGAGATAATTGTTGCAAAAACTCGTGCAGGACAAGGAGGGTTGAGACCCATCTCCAAGGCAGGAGAGAGGTGTGTTGGGGGGGGCGGGGGGCGCGGGGGCCGGAATACTGGTCTCGGAGTCAGAAAACCTGGCTTCTAAGCACAACTCTGCTACTGCAGTTGCTCTGGCCAGTGTCCTCTATGATCTGGCTGCTACGTACCCAAGAGAGGGAAGAGATTCAATAGAATTACGTCTTTGCAAGTCCATGGGAGGGCGTTGCAGAGAATCTTCTCCTGTAATCGAAGCCCACAACCCTTCCTTCTTCCTCAGCCCCTCAGATATTCTTGGCTGAGTTGAGGGGTAAACATTCCACTTGATTTGCCCAGTGTAGACCACGCCTGGTGACCAACTCCACTGTCCCTCAGGAGCTTGGTGGCTGGTCCTCCAGCTACACCTCACCTAGTGTCCAATCGCACCCAATCTGAGAGCAGTAGAGAGAGGCTAAAATCCCTCTCACTATCCAGTAAATTTAGTGGGATCAAGTCATAGCAAACTAGGAGTGAGG